CGAGTGACGGGCGTGGATTCGCTCCTGGTCATGGATTTGACCAGGGTATATGGCTAAGCCTTATGGTGGACTCCATACGGGCGTATTTGTGTTTGCTATTGTTGTGATTATTGTGTTGATATATTCGTTGCATGTGTATTTGGAAAATGTCGATTGTACCGTTCTCATTGAGAACGGGATTTCCGGGTTCAACCCGGGCTACTCACTAAGCGGTTGTGCTTAGCCCTCGTGGTTTCATATTTTTCCAGATCACGAGGATTACGCCTAGCTCATCAGACGACGACGACTGGAGAGCAGCAGCATCACGTACGGGATTTGTTTCCCTAAATCCAAGTATATGTATTTTCCGGCATTTTGTACGGCTTAATTATGACTATTCGGACATGTGTTGTTTTGCGATATTAATCGCCTTGTCGGACGACGACGACTGGAGAGCAGCAGCATCACGTACGGGATTTGTTTCCCTAAATCCAAGTATATGTATTTTCCGGCATTTTGTACGGCTTAATTATGACTATTCGGACATGTGTTGTTTTGCGATATTAATCGCCTTGTATTTTCCGCTGTTTACTCTGGTTTAATTAAAATGTTTTTTTTGGATTTTGGAATTTCCGCTTCCGCAAATCTGTTAACTATTATTTTATTATATATTGTCCATGTGGCACAGCCCGTATACTGTACACGGGTTACGGGTGTCACAGATCGGGGCATGGCGGCGATCAATGTGGAGTGGTAACCCCGACTACGGCGGCGATCCGTAAAGGATTATTACTATTGGTCGTGTTTTGGTAACCCCGACTACGGCGGCGATCCGTAGAGGGTTACAAAGATATTCTTAGTTTTGTTTTATAAAAGAGTTTTAAGCTAAGTCTGAGGGGTACTGAATGGTCCTAGAGTTTGGACTCGTTTTAAAGAATCGAACAAAAAAAAGTTAGGAGAAGAACGTGAATCGATAGATTGAGTTTTGTTTGAGTTGAATGTTGATTGAATTTATTTTTTATTTGATTGTCTATGTTGGGTACGGAAGCGAGGTTTATAGTCTTGCAACCTTACTGAGCTATTCGCGTAGCTCACTCCTTCCTTTTTCTTCACAGGTGAAAGGTGAGGCAGATTATTTTGGTTGGATTCGGTAGTTTGCCAGAAAGACGAAGATTTAGAATTTCTATTTCTTTTATTCAATTTATTCATGAAATTAATATTCATACTTAAGTTATTGAAATTCATTGTTTTAGACTTCCGCTGTAGAGCCTAATTTTGATGGTTGATTTTAGAATAAATCGGATTTTTTTATAACCCAAGTGACGATTCAACGATATCCACCATCGGTCGGTCTTCAATGTCTACCTGCTTACCACTTCTCAAAGTAATCGTATTGACATGTTCATGGGGGTTAGTCTCAGGTTTACCTGGAAGAGATCCGGATGGTCTTTGAGAGGCTGATGCTAGCTGAGTGATATGGTTGTCTATGATCTTGAAGTGAGCATCGATGCTTGCGAACTGAGCTCGAAATTCATGATTTGCCGCCGGCCACGCCCACCGGCCACCGTCGCCGGAAAATTTTTCGGTGACATGGGTTGAACCGTTTCAATCCTGTGATTTCAAATCCGAAATCCGTTTTATAAAGTTCAAAGTATTTAGAGATCTTCGAACGATTTAAAATAAGACAGTTTAACCGTAGGACGTCCAGTCCCAGAGGAGGGGAGATGTGGAAATCCTCCCCAGCCTGATCATATGCAAGAAATGAGGAATTTACTGATGGAGCTCATCACTACTGTGAGACAACAGGGAGCAGCACCAGCTCCACAACCGGTCCCTGCACCACCACCACCTTATGTACCACCACCTCCACCTCCCTTACAACCGGCTGCAGCTCCTGCACCTGCACCACCTGTGATGAATGCGGAATTTTTCCAGTTCCTTGATCGAGTGGAGCGTCGTACAGCTCCAAGATTTGGTGGTACATCTGATCCAGTTGTGGCAGAGGATTGATTGGACAGGATGACTCAGATATTTGATCTTATCCAGTGTCCTGATCTTTTTAGGGCACACATATCAATCTACCATCTGGATGGAGAGGCGAGACATTGGTGGAAAGGAGTTGGCCAACCATTTGGGGCAAACTATCAGTTCACTTGGGAACAGTTCGTCCATACATTTCGAGAGAAATATTACTCACCTGGAGTACAAGAGGAGATGACGATGAAGCTTATTAGCCTTCAACAAGGAAATCGTTCAATGAAAGAATACGAGAGGGAATTCAATGCATTGGCTAGATATGGAGGTGAGATGCTGCAAACAGAGACCTTAAGGGTTAAGAAGTTCGTAAGAGGACTTCGTCCGTCTCTCAAGGCAAAGGTAGGTTTCGAACAACCACATATATCTCATTGAGATAATGTTACCTTGCTAATTTGAGATTGTTTATCTATAGGTGAAACTTTTGAAAATCAACTCGATGTCAGAAATAGTTGATATGGCTGATCGAATTGAGAGAACAGAACGTGAAATCGAAGCATCTACTAAGAGGTCGACTAATCCCAGTCATAGGCGTCTACTCCAAGATGACAAGAGTAAGGGCAAGGCGGTTATGCAACCTTATACATCCGGTATCCCGATGTGCTCACAATGTGGGAGACGTCACTTTGGCGAGTGTAGATTACTCCAAATCACTTGTTACCACTGTGGAAGGGCGGGACATTATAAGAGCGATTGTCCCGAGTTAAAAAGAGAAGCACCTAAGAGGATTGAACAAAGACCAATTCATCAACAACCAACTGCTAAGAGACCAGCGGTGAAACCTAGAGTCTATGCTCTAGGAACTGAAGAGCAAGAGGAAGAAGAAATGGCAGCAATCATAGGTATGCCGATATTTCATTTAAATATAATAGGAAATCGTAACAAATATGGCTAGTTAGGACTAATTTCAAATGTAGGTGTTGTTAATTAGTTACGGGCGTAATTCATTGGTCATATCATTTCTTCTCTTAGGTATGTTGAGTATTGGAGGTGAACAAGCTCATACCCTTTTTGATACAGGGGCGACACATAGTTTTGTTTCGCTCACACACGTAAATCGCATGAAGATTGCACATGATATTAATAGTGGTAGAATATTGGTCCATACACCTGGTGGAGAGGAAATGGAATCGAAAGGAATGATTCGTGATGTATTGGTCCTGATTGGTATACATGACTTACCTGTTGATCTGATAGTGGTACCAATCAAGGGGTACGATGTGATTTTGGGTATGGATTGGTTATCAAGTCATCGAGCTCACCTCGATTGTAAGAGAGGTAGAGTTTGTTTTGAACAAGAGGGATCCTTGGTACTAGAGTTTGAGGGTGCAAGAAAGATTTCAAGTTTTCCTTTTATTTCAGTAGTGCGGGTAAACCAGCTAATTCAACAAGGGAGTGATGCATATTTGGCGGTAATAGAATTAAACAGACCGGAAACATCAAGTAGACTAGAAGATATACCGATTGTTAAAGATTTTCCTGATGTTTTCCCGAAAGATCTACATGGGATACCTCCTCTAAGAGAGATATCTTTTCCTATTGAGTTGAAACAGGGAGTTGAACCTATCTCTAGAGCCCCTTATCGTATGGCTGCTTTAGAAATGACTGAGTTAAAGAAGCAATTGGTGGAGTTGATTGGAAAAGGTTTTATAAGACCTAGTACTTCTCCTCGGGGTGCTCCTGTACTATTTGTTAAGAAGAAAGATGGGCGTATGAGATTATGCATCGATTATCGAGGATTGAATCAGGTAACAATAAAAACAAATATCCACTTCCAAGAATTGATGAGCTATTGGACCAACTTCAAGGTGCTTTTCTCTCGTGCATTTGTCCTTCCCTGCGTGTGTGACCCTGTAGGCTCATTCGATATAGCAGTATAATCCGAAATCTCTATTCCGGATATACAAGTCATAGGCGATCTCTAGCAAGACACTATGACTACCTATCTCGAATAGAATTTGTTCGTGATCTTTACGAACGCCAGAGATGATTCCGGTTGATGATCCTTTTATATCACGATATCATATGTCGAAC